TTAAATGTACTAAATTGAAACTTCATCATGCCAAATGTGTAATTATAAATATATTTAAAGGGGTCATATGATGCGATCTCTCTTTCTCTTTTGAGTGTTACAAGCTGATTGTGCATAGATTAGATCCCTGAAGTTGCATAGCAGTAACTCCCGCAGAAAACTTTCTGCAAGTCATTAAAAAAAAGCCCATTAACTAGCTTGCGCATGGAAGGATACAAACTCATGGAGTGAAAAAAGTGGAAAAAAGGGGGGAGTGTGTCACATAACTCCATTTAACTCCTATGGCGGACCCCAGACAGTAGAACACACACACACACACACACACACATTATTCATTTGCTTCAAAGTTATTCATATTTTTGCACATTTTTATATAAAATGAGAACACTTTAAGTCAAATTTACTTTAATTAAAAGAACATCTGCATTTTTTCATTTTTACTTATAGAGATAATTCATGGAAAAAGTTGAAGATTTCTGCCAAGATTTCATCTAGGAAAACAAATACGATTAAAACGAATGTCATGATTCTCACTATGACCACTAGATGAAAGCAGAGGATCGTTTATTGTCTCATTTACTATTTCCACTTTGTAATATAGTTCTTTTCACGTTTTGCTAATGGATTTATATGTAAGGGATAATCAACGGCTAGCTGTGCATTAAACGATTTGAATGCACGACGTGGAGGCAAGAATCACCCGACGGTGTAGAACCAGATCTAGAAACAGAAACCAGTTTATTATCTCAAATAATGTTATAGCCATTTTTATATTCATCATCACCAGTTTTCACTGTTAAAAAAACACACACCGCATCGATTCCAGACAGCTGCATCCCAGCGTTGACCACAAGGACTGTAACAATCTGCCAGCGAACAGACGGATCCCTAAAGAGCTGCAATACTGAGACAGTCTCTATTGAGGACAAAGAGCGCTGCTCTTCCTGCATCTCCTCCACCTCAGCCTGAATATTACACTTGGCACGGTACCACTTCAGTGCTGCAAAGAGGAATCAGAATCTGAGCGTTATTATATAATTACATTAGATTCTATCAGATCACGTCAAACAGCAGAGAATCAGAAACAATAATGTACAGTATTTGAAAAATAATGTGTTTTTTGAACATTAAACCTTTTTGTCAAAATTCAGCATTATTTTGTATTAAAGTATGAAGTAGCAAGAGCTTTCAACTCATCGGATCTACTTGAATCACACAGATGGCCTATTTTGAATTAAAAATGCAATTTTCAGTGAAAGGTGGCTAGTTTGTATATCCTTGTTTGTATCCATTCTCTCAAATGTAAATCAAATGCCCTTCACAAACATTTTTTTTTTTTTTTGAGCAACAGAGATACTCATAAATGAACTGATATTTGCCCTCTTAGGCAGTGGCGGAACCAGGATGTTTTCAAAGGGGTGGCCAGGAAGGGGCCAGCAACCAGTCTGTGGTGGCACAGAAATCGTCATTATTTCAATATAGATATATATTTGACTACTGGACTGTTTTAGTGCCTAAAACACAACTGAATACAATTAATTTGTACGTAATTGTAATTGAGAATTTGTAAAGTTGTGAATTAGACCAGGCAATACTGAGTGAATAGGACCATTTTTGTATTATTTTTGTATTACCTCCAGGTATTTTAATAAAAGGGCTCACTCTAGCTTTATTGCTCAGTCAGCTTGGCTGTGGGTCTCAACACCCCCAAAAGCTTGTTCTCCATCATTGCACAGGCCTACTCATGGATGAGACATGCAGATAGTTAAAAGTTTAGTCAACCTTCACTTATGTCTAAAAAACAACGGGAATCCAAAAGCCTCTGTATATATCAATATAGGGTGCTAATACAAGAGGTTATGCAACATTACATTAATTTTAAAAAAAGTTCTCTTTTGAATCCCCATCTGCAATAATGTGAAAAAGGGCAGAAGTCAATAGGACATAAATGCCAGAATGTAAAATGAGTTATTTTATGCATTTAAATACCGTTTCATTTTCGTACTTTACAAATTAACAAAAAATTTGCGAATATTTTTAGTACAACTGCACTGTGCTCACATTTAGCCTACTTGTGCATTAAATTACAAATATCGCGCCCTATTGTGATGTCGAATTGCAGAATATTTCAGTAGGCCTACATGCATTTGAGAGACGTTCTTAAATATTTAAGACATTCTTTATATTTTGAATTTTTTTAAATCTTAGCTTCATCGGAATGAGATGACACTTGGTGACTTTTGTCACATTAGCAATATGAACACACAAAAAAATCATGGACATGATTCGGATATGTTAAAGGCTCATAAAAAATAGTCACACTTGACTTCTTCGCGGCCAAAAATGACCGACATAGGAAATGAATGGGAAATACAAAAAAATCTTAGTTTCTGTTCTGAAGTTTTATTAACATTTATTGAATTACATTGAATAAAATATTAATTAATTACAAAATGTTTGTATAAAGTGTTTTGAATTATCACTATTCATTCCTTATTTTGTTAGATTTTGTAATTATCAAATACTGAGTAACAAAAATGCTTTCTATGTGTTCCCTTTCTAACAAGATTTTAATGTTTGACTGTAATCATTATGTAAAACATGATATTTATCTAACCAAAAATATCTAAACCTTGACAAAAAAGTAGTCTTTTAGAATGTCTAGATATATATCTAAATGCAAAACCTAAAAAAAATGAAGAAATTATGTCTAAAAAACAACGGGAATCCAAAAGCCTCTGTATATATCAATATAGGGTGCTAATACAAGAGGTTATGCAACATTACATAAGTTTTTATTTTTTAATGCCTCCAGATGGCCCAATTCTCACTTTAAAAAAATGGGTTTTAAATGCCTTCACTCTATTTTAATGTGAAATATTGCATTTATTTAAAAAAAATAGTAAAGAAATAAAAAATATAGTCATTCTAATGGAGAAAATAGCTCAATAAATTTTATAAATATTGCACAGTATCCTAAAATTCCCTCAAAATCATAAATAATAATCAAAAAATATTATTGAACAAAAATATATTACATTGATTTTCCTGAAGAAAAAAAAAAGTTACATTTCAAGGCTTCAGTCACTTTTGACCTTGAAGGAGGCAAGTGTGACTCCTAAACGAAGAGGGCCAGAGGGTTAAATATGCTAAAAACCCTTAAATAAAAATGTTTCATTACATTATTTTAACAACTAAGCTTTTGATCATGTATAACGTTTTATTAAAGAAGATTTTCACATAATGATTTCGGCAAAATGGCAACATTTATATGCACTGCATATGCGGCATATCCCGTTTTTGCGCCGCTGCCTCCACATGTTCCCACCGGACGCAGTCAAACATTTCACATTACCATTTCGTTTTACAGATACTTGGATGAATGAATGACGAGAGTAGAGTAGAAAAGAGTGAATAACCTCCTATGTGAGACAATAATTGATTCTTCACAAAAAATTGTGTCATGCTATGGATTTAACGCTGAGTCATATGACCACGAGAACATACTCAGAAAGGCACATGTAGATAAGACTGCAGCCAGGTCTGTCACACACACACACACACACTCTCTCACACACACACACACACACACACACACACACATATATATATATATATATATATATATATACATACAGTATATATATAATCTATTACATATAATTAATACATTTGTGGGAGCATCTTCTCATATTCATGTGAGAAGAGAGAGGGCCAAAAACAAACAAACCAACAAACAAAACAAAAAAGGCCAGAGGGAGCTATAGTGCCAAAAGTAACACAAACACAGAACTATTATTTCAACATTTGTCAAAGGTTAGTCACAAGGCTGAGCAACTGGAGAATTATTGAAACCGAGGGAAAACAAATATATTTAATACATATTTAGGCAGAGCACATGAGAGTGTATGGAGTGACATTGCTAATTCTTCTTTTGAACTGAGTGTACAGTATGTGATACACATTAAACTGTGTTAATCTAGTTTTTTTAAAAGGGATAATTCGCCCCCAAATGGAAAGTCTGTCATCATTTATTCACCCCCATGTCGTTCCAAAACAGTAGGACTTTTTTTCTTCTGCAGAACACAAAAGAAGCCATTTTGAAGAATATTGGTAATCAAACAGTTTTGGTTACCACTGACTTCCACCGTCTTACGTCTTATGTTCCACAGAAGAAAGAAAGTCATTCAAGTCTGGAATGACATGAGGGTGAGTAAATGATGCCAGAATGATCATTTCTGGGTGAGCTATCCCTTTAAGCCCTTGAGGGCCTGATGCAAAACTAAGGTCACCAAACCATAACTAATGTTTTAAGGCTTGCAGAGTAGTTTCACGTGAGTGCCTGAATAGCAGTGATAATTTGCACAGTAAGACATTTACAAATGTAAAATTTAGCAATTTAGTTATGTGCAGATTTCAGTTTGATGACCATGATGAAATGCTGAGAATACATGGGATCAGGAGGATCAATTCCATCATTCTGTCGTCTTCATGATGAGGAATCCTCGTATCAGATGTCTGTATATAGAACATAGAGACAGTAACGTCAATGAATCACTGGTTTTCTGTTATCTGTGCACAGACAGAGTGGTTGCACATAGACTATTACTAAATAAATACAGTTTACTACCTCAAAATTATAATTTTGCCATTGGACACACACACACACACACACATGATAATTTGTGTTATATTTAATAGTTTCTGTTACCCATGACAAGCAAGTTCAGTTAATTTGAACAGAGAGTTAAATCACGCGGGTTGTTAACATGTGACAATGTCAGTCTCACATTTTGACCTTTTAAAATAGTGAGAAATTCATGTAGGAGGAGCTTCATTTGACAGCAAGAAGTGGTTGGTTGAACGTCGTACACTCTCCCTCCTCCTTGTTAAATTTGCCGAATTCAGTCATAATTCAGTCAAAAATAGCCTGCACTTGAGGTGCCGGTGGTTTGAAGGTTTAAGGAAAAAACAATACCCACTCTCATTCGAATTTTAGTCAAAGGGCCTCTTTCTTTTGTGCTCATAGATGGCGGAGGAGGTTTTGATAGAACTTAATGGGAAAAGTAGAGGGGTAAGTTACACCTAATTTATTTTGCATGTTAAGATTTACTACTACTACTACTACTACTACTACTACTACTAATAATAATAATAATACGTGTTTAATGAATTCTTTAATTTTTGATTTTTTGAAAATATTCGAAACATTATAAAACATGACGGCTCCTTTTGATGAAAAGACTCACAATTCATGTCATGACGCATCTGTTGAATTCTCAGGGAAATGTTGTCGACTTGGCGTTATAATGAAATCATCTCTTTTTTTTTTGTTCTCAAAATGTCTTCGCTCTCATAATTGTCTGCAAATCTGCAGTTTAACCTGTAATCTCTTTAAAAGCGTAACTAATTAAACTTAATTCAATGTTTTTATTTAGCTATTTATTTATAGCATTTCTCCAACCAAAAAACAGATATTGTCTTTGGCAGCAGATTTAAAAGAAATTGATGTATAACAGACGTCTATTGACTCTAATAATGAATGATTTTCATATGCGTCTTTGTCAGATAACGCTAAAGAGGCACTAAAGTTAGTGTAAACACATTTTAAATTCTTATGTAAAGCTACTGTTGCCCAATAAGCTTACGTTACATATAATGTTGTTACTGGTGCTAAACTCACGTCTGCTCTTTCTCAGAATAAAATATCGTATATATATATATATA